TGGTTATGATACGCGAGAAAAAGAGATCAAATAAATGACGTACAAATTAAATTAGACAGGCTTAAGCTGATTTTAGGGATACCGTGCTTTTGCCACTATCTTTTCCCCAATTTATGGGTCATTTTAAATATTGTATTTTTTACTTTTCAATACTTTTTCAGTATTCTTTTTTCAACGCTTGTTATTTTGCTGCCTTAAATGTGGATTAACTGATTTCAAATAAATAATTGTCAGTTGGTTTTAAGTGTGTGACGATGTGACCTCCTTACATCGCCATCCCACCTTTCTGTATCGCTTCTCTCCATTCGGTACGTATCGTTTCTCTCCATACGTAACGTATCGTTTCTCTCCATTCGTAACGTATCGTTTTTTCTTCTACACATATTTAAATTAAACATTTGAATTTTTGTTGTGAAATCTTCCTTCGCTTTCTTGTTTTGTTTCGTACCACGGTCACTCTCCGCACGACTGCGGTAGCAAACACATCTATCTACTCGTCTTATTTTTGAACCGTTTATCGCTTACTAAAATCAAATTTTTGATTCTTTACCAAGTTATAATACAAAACGGAACAAAAGAATTGTCAAAAATTTGCTGCAATAGTTTTTCGACCAAAAATGAAGACAAACCCGGATGTAATGGTGCCGCCATTCAAACTAGTTACTAAAACTCAACCAAGCTAAATGTGGTCTGGCGGATTCTCCCTCTTAGACTCGGCAGATTCCATCATTATCATGAACCCGTTTATACGTCTCACTGCTGGGCACGGGTCTCCTCTCAGGCGAGTGCTTGGGCGACAGTCCACCACACTGTCCCTATGAGGGTTGGGGACTGCACACGTTTTCCGAGGACTTTGAACCTTCTTCAACGTTTCTATACATAACTGCCTCTGTGACCAAATGGTTACCATGCCGGACTGCCACGCAGAGGTCCCAGGTTCGATTCCCGGGCCGGGAGAAATATTCTCTCGTGAGTTTGGGTGTAATTTGTGGTTTTCTATGTGTGTGTCCATGGCACCCGCGACACAGGGTTTCCCTAGTGCGGGGCTATGTTGAGTGTGTGCGTTATATTTATATTTGTTTCATCACGACGTTTTCCTTCACCGAAAAGCTCATGATAAATTTCAAATTAAATTTCGCACAAATTCCGAGAAACTCAGAGGTGCGAGTCTGGATTCGAACCCACGACACTCAGAGGCAGTAGGTCAAACCATTAGGCTACGACGGCTTCATTTTCATTTCAATTTCTTTAACGGGGTAAAATTGTAAAAGTAGACAATCCAGAATTTATAGATACTCTGTTGGTATCCCTTTTCTGATGGAATTTCTTTCTAGATGGAAGTTTTATTCGAAATGAAATGTCAATAGCAAACAATTTTGACAGTTTCACACGTTACTTGATATGGAACGATTATGATAGTTGGGGCCGATTCTAGTTTGTCTATGAATTAAAAATAAAAACTACGATTGTGTTACATGCGTGAGTAAAGTTTTTATTTGCCGCCATTTCGCCAGTCGTAACATGCGGTTCTTGAACACATCACAGAGAGTTTATAATATATGTGTAGATAAAGCAGTGTATGTAACTGTACATAATTAGGCATTAAAACACTCGTGAGATGTGTTTATGAAACTCGCCTGTCGGTTCGTTTAATAAACCCTCACTCGTGTTTTAATGCCTTTCATTATGTAACAGTCACATAAACTACTATAGTCATACACATTTTAATAACGACATTAAAATGTGATTATAAAGGCGGATTTGATTATGTACTATATTAATTTTCATAAATTAACAATTCAAATGAACCTGTGCCCAGCAGTTGGACGAATTATTGGCCGATGGTGATTCAAATGAAACGAATTCGGCTATTTATTTCAGAAGAGTAACCAACAATCAGTCGATGTTCGAAAGAATATTTATCGACTGCAATCACTGGCTGCTTGCAAGCGGGCAACACTTTTACGCAATGAACTGTCATTTTACTCCATCTCCAAAAAAGACTGACTACCTTTATATAGGGTGTAAAACGATCTTTAACGAAACTGAAATATACGCATAGTGTACATCAAACTATACATTAAGCAAAAATAATTGCTGGGAAACAACTTCTATTTTTAGGTATTAAAAACGGCTGTTACTTGTGACGCGCAATGTAACGCGTGCAACATGTGCATAAGTGTGAGTGTCTTCTATCCGCGTTCAGTCTGAAAGTAGTATGCAATTAATGACACTTACCGAGCACGATTACTATGTAGTCTCCGTAGAACTTTGGCTGCTGTTCGCACATCCAAACGTGGGTTTTCTCAACACAACGCATTCAATGTACGTAACGAGCGGCACTGAAACAAATTGCCAAGCGAGGTTTGAATCTCCCCGATCTCGCTGCGCGCCTCATACAACCCCTTTCGAAAACATCGCGGATTGCGTGGGCGCCGACTAGATTCGGTGTTTGTCTAATTTTCTGTATTTCAATTGTATTGAAGACAAAATAAAATACTCAGTACTTAAGTTTATTTAGTTTTTAGTTTTTTTAGGCCGTGCTTGTTGCCACAAATGACCGTTCGTTCCGAAGTCGCATCCACTCTGTCCCTATGGCGCCAGCTGGTTCACTCGTTTGTGTGCGTGCATTTCATTGCTGCATGGCGGCGGTCACAACATGTGCACATTCGATATTCAATGCGGTTTTGTAGTTTCAAACGCCTCGTTTAATTGTAAACTGAAGAAAACAATGTTTTTTAAATTTTTATTGTATTGATATTCAATTATTTTTTGTGAAATTACTCCGCTAGTTTGTTATAATTATTAATACAAAGATCGAACACTCAGAAAAAATTCCTTCGATCCGGTCGGATTCGAACCGACATCTTCTTGCATACCGTGCCAGACGCTATACCAAATAAGACACGGAACGAACCAACGGACCTCACGAATTTTTCTTATGTGCTTGCGTCGTTCTCTTTCTCTTTTTTTCGTATCTTTGTATTTGGTTTTTCAACGACTTTTTAGTCGTAGCGCTATCCATGAGAAATGAATGAAAGATTTATCATCCCGTTAGTACCTTTACAGCTACCATTCCTGGCGAGAGATGTCGCTATTCACTGTATTTTAATTTTTTATTGAATTGATATTCAATTATTTTTTTGTGAAACTAGTGGAGTTTTGTTTGGAGTGGAGTTTTTCTGAGTGTTCGATCTTTGTATTAATAATTATTATGTTTGTTTGTAAGAAAGTTTACTAGTAACATTTTAAAATAGATTTCGTAAAAAACGTGAAATAAAAAATTTTCACTTTGATCGTCAATTATCAACATCCCAGACACGACCCCGTAGAAAATACTAGTAACGATGGGAAGAATACGTAGTTCTTGTTAAGCTCTTTTTACACCTTGTATAGTTTAAATTATTAGTATAGTATAGCGCGGCGGCAAATTAATTGAATATTGCGTTTCACTGGATTCGTCCATGTGCCGCCATCTGGTGGGCAAAACCTAGAGATCCTAAATGTGTTTTGAGTTAGTAAAGTTATTGTGCTTTGGGAATATGGCGTAGGAGCAGAAAAGCGAATAAGCAGTAATTAACACTGAAACATCTGGTAATTTTCAGGTTAGTTTTCTAAAAATTGTCACTGAAATCAGGTAGTAAAAACATGAAAGTTATCCATCAACAATTCATAAAATACAGAATACGGGGTGCGAGCACCTAACTTATCAATATGAAAAGTAGCTTTATATTTGTGATACCTTATGACTTTGTATAGTAATACTTAATAAAGTTATGGTGCTTAGCAAAGGCTTGGCTTGCTCGAATTGTTTTGTAACAATCTCTTTTTTGTTTATCATGTATTCGATAAATACATTGTAATTTTCAACCACATTCCGGATTTTTTATATCTACGGTGTTGTAACCATATTATTAATATGAGCTCATAAGTGCACTGGAACTCTGCTTCTTTTGACTTCAATTGTGTTAGTTTTTTTATGGTGAACGAGCTCTCTGCGGACTGGTTAATTCTGCTAATTGCAAGTTAAAAAATGTAAAAGCGCTTTCAGCTTTAACGTTGAGGGAAAATGAAACTAGAGCTGTTGCACCACACCGCCTCAAAACACCGATTAATGTTAAACATTCAATGGTCAGTTCAGGTTATGTTAAATGAGAAAAGAATGAGACTTGAGGTGGAATATAGTTTCAAAGACACGCTTGTGTTTAAAAATTTTATCAGTATTTTATGAATATTTATAATGATGTGAGTGTACTTTTAAATCAATTATTTAAATTACAGCATCAAATAAAATTATCACATTACTATTATATTTTAGCTTAAATTAAAGCGAAATCATGGTTATTTATATATTTTCATGCCATGTTGTAAGCTTAACCAGTAATGAAACTACGAGAAGCAATATGTAATATGAATCGTGATTATTTGTGTCTCAAATTGACCTTATAGTGACTCAGATACGAAATAATCCAACGTATTTGTGTGGTATAACCTTGTTCTTACAAATTGATAATAAAAAGCCAAAAAAAAAATATATATGTTTTATTTTGCTTTTAAAAGCCTTTCCCTTCAATATCTCAGTCTTGAGGACAGACATAATATAAGAAAATATCAGTCTCGTATTAGTGACCAAATGGTGGTCACCATTGGTCACCAATAGACGTCTTTGTTTGTTGTTAAGTCTTGTAAGATTTGTGAAGTTATTAACCTGTAACAAAAATAGCATTAGATTATTAAAATAATTTAGTGAATGTAGCTTACATACGAAAAAGTAAATGATCTATCACGAAATTATTTCTAATTTTAACAATGTTACAACTAGCATACCGTGAAATATTAATTTTGTTACTTATTTTATTGGAATTGAAACGCAAAGTGGTATTTTCATTTTACATTATATTTTACAACGAACTATCAAAAACAATAAAAAATCTTTAGGTGCCATTTTCATGAAACGTTATTGCTTATCAGCATCCAATTGTACATTGATTCTATTTGTAGGTTTACTTATAATTTGTGATATAATTTATAACATTATACATACGAGATGATCTACCCATTTCTCTGCCGCCTGCTTCCGTGGCCGAACGGTTATCATGCTAGATTGCCACGCAAGAGGTCCTGGGTTCGATTCCCGGGCCGGGATATAGGCCATACAAATGGCCTACATATATTTATCTCGTGAGTTGTGTAATTTTTGGTGGTCTGTGTCTCCATGGCACCCGCGACACAGGGTTTCCCTAGTGCGGAGCTATGAGTGCGTGCGCGTGCGCATTCTCGCTACGTTTCCATCAATTTTGGATCAATAAATTTGTGTCGTTTTCAACAAACCTTCTTGAGACCAAACCATTTAGTATTGTTTCTAATTGTATTAAAAACGGTAATAATAGATTGGGAGTAAGAAGTACATAAATAGATTGTTATTTCTAAGGTATGTTAAAATAAAAATATTGGGTGAAACAATTTTTTGAAAATTAAACTATTATTTGTAGCACCAAGCATAGGGGTTTTCAACAAGAACTTTGTTTTGTAAATCTAAATAAAACAATAAATTTAGATGGCAATGATTCAAATTTTTATTGTATTAAAAAAAGTAAGGTTTGGCAATTATGTATGAAAAATGATACCCGATAAACGTCCACCACGACCACAGTTACAGATATCGATTCTTTCATCAAAGTTTTTAATCACTTTTTGACAAAATGTCTATTGCGTTAATCACTTCACGAATTTTGAGTTTTAAGAGGTACAATCGATTTATTGGCTCCGCGTAGACTCTGTCTTTGTTTTTTTTGTGGCGGTGGCTGTGTGAATTGTGGCACAATTTTGTTAAAACCACATGTTAGTGATCAACTTCAACTTCAACTTTTGTGTCTATTCGTATTCATATCATCAATAATAGGGGTGACAATTGACGGGTGTCGTCAATTGTTTCACTTCAAAGTGACCAGTTTAACTTGAGATTTGCTATAATGGACGAAAATTGCAAAATTACATATTTCATATAATTGCCGATGAAATGTGATTCCGTTTGTTTAGTAATTAGATGTTTTGCTGTTTTTCCCACACCACCGAATGGAATATCCCCCATTGTTACAGACATTATCTTTATTAGAATAAATACAAATATTTTTGGAATATACGGAGACGTACACACAGGTCTGTTGTTGGCGCTGTACTATTTCAGCTTTCTAATTTGTGATCTCAGCGCGAACGAGAGTTGACATTTAGAAGTGATATAAGGCCCATTTGCCTGATTAGTTGCCAGGGATACATGGTCCTTATTTCGTCTCTATTTGTGGTTATACATATACTCGATGGGACGCTTACACACATTATATAGATAAAAAGGTAACAGTCTCAGTCTAAGCTGTTTTTCAGACTTCGTATTTTTTATTATACATTGAATAGCATCTATGAGCTGCTCACTATCAACTAATTACCTCATAGTATGTGTAGGTACAGTTGACGCATAGAGCACGCAGCAGAGTAGATTCTCAGATCTTTGTGCGTGACATTTATGATATTCAGAACACCAATACGTTTCACTCATGCAGCCCAACAGCTCTTCTATATCTGTGTATAAAATTTAACAATTTCAAGAGTAAGCAACAACAATAACATAATCGTGAAAAAGATAATTTCCTTGACATAACATGTGTCTCTATAAACTGGGCACGTAATTATTTTTATTTTTTAATTATTTCTTGCAACAATATTAAAATATCAGGGAGTAATCATTAAGTATGCCCAGGCTATTATTCAGTAAATATAAGGGATATCAAAAACCTTTAGACAGATATCGAAACAATGAATATTAAAAAAAATAATAAAAATAAAGTTAGAAATATCCAAAATTTTGCAGAGTAATTAAAGCAATTGCACGGCGTAAACGGTATCTTTGACAAATACCCATAAGAAAAAATCGCATGGCTTAAGATCCGGGGATCTAGCACTGGTCGGGACTGTACGCGGGATGGCTTATAAGGTCAACGTTGTTCACTTTCAAAAATTCCTTTGTCTGTCTGGCCGTGTGAGAACTGACATTATCGTGGTTCAAGATGATACTGCGTTTACGGTTATTTTTACGGAGTTTGTCAATAACTTCCGGCAAACAAATGGTCGTGTACCAATCACTATTTACGGTACAACAATTCTCCAAAGCAACAGTAGCCACGTGTCCAGTTTTATTAAAAAAGAAGCAATCATCCGCTTAGAGGCTCTTTGCACGCGCGCCATTTTTGTTGGTTACGGCTCATCTGGAAAGATCTAGGAGCTCGATTGCTGCTTTGTTTTGGGATAGTAACTATAAATCCATGTTTCGTCACTTGTTACTATGTCCCACACCAAATTTGACGCCCCTTCATTGAATCTGGTAAGCATGGTTATTGTACTAAGTGACGTGATCCGTTTTTTGAGCTTCAGTCAAATTGTGTGGGATCCACCGTGAGAACAGTTTTTTCACACCCAAATATTTGTGTAGTATTGATTGTATTTAACTCATGCCTATGGCTAAAGATGTCCGAATCTCATGGTATGTCACATGCCTGTCTGTTGATCATACGGCGCACAGCATCGATGTTTTTGTTGTTCACAGCAGTGGACGGGTGACCATCACGAAATTCGCACTGAGATTAACACGACTGCGTTTGAATTCTGAAAACCAACTATAAATAGTCGTTTTGCATAGTGCTTCATCGCCAAAAGCAGTTTGTAGCCGAGCGAAGCTCCGCTGAGCTGTTAAGTTACACTTAAAGTCGTAGAAAATCAAACTACACAAATTTTCACGAGTTAAATCCATGGTGATGTAGACAACAAGTGATTATTACACTTGAAATCGTCACATTGGTAAAACTCTACCGCTCATTCGTAAGGCAGATTCCCCTGAGAAAATGAGCAAAAAACTCTAGGGGTTGCTCTGTAAATAACATTTGTGCGCATTCAACATTTACAATATATTTTTTGTTTTGCTTTCAAACATCAGAGATCGAGACTACCTCCATGAACTTAACGGGTTACTACAACGGATTTTTATCATTCAAGTACGCAGAAGTTTAGAATAACCTTTAGTATAAAGTTTTTGTTCACTATAGTTGTAAACCTTGTGAATGGCAAATTTTGTATATCAACCGAAATCTTGTTATAAAAGCGTATACATTGCCCCTTAAATGAATTTGTCACTTTGTGAAGACGACTACTACTATCAAGAACACTAGTTTATTTTTATTCCTCGTATTAATGTTATGTCTGTCATTATTTTTCATAAAGAGATTACTATTCCTCTTAACATAAATTACATTTTCATAGATGTACTGTGACGCGAGTGTAAGAATATTAATTTCCTTAAATTTATCTTTCAAAGATACTTTAGGTCCATAAGATGGACCTTACATGATGTAATTATTAACTAACAAATTGCAATAGACCAGCCAACAAGCAGTATCAACATTGTGCAGTTTGAATATGTTTTATGAAAAGCTAGTAGTTAAAGTTGTATTTTTTAACCAATTGTGTACAGTCAAGAGCACAGCAAGCTTGACACTTTGTAGTTTGGATCGTTTTTATCGTAAGCGGCAAAGAGTTGGATTTAAATCTTAAGTGTCAAGCTTGACGTGCTCTTGACCCTTACATTAGTATAATAGCACAACAGAAATAGCTTGCAATTGAATGCGTCGATTCTCGTAAATTAACTAATAAGTAGTTAATAACATATCTAATCTGACCTTTAAAGTAGCGAAACTAATCCGAAGCAATGCCTCTCTACGAATGTCATATTAAACGTATGGTAATGTTTAACGTTTAAATTTTGGATACTTCTAGTTTTATTTTAAAAAGTTATTGATGTTATTTTGCTCATTAGAGAAGATTTTTGACATCTCTTACATTTACCTAATAATCGCCTGGGCACACGTAACGATTACACCCTGTATATCTGAACTAATGTTTTTTTATGATATCCATGGACGGGATGAACAAGTCGTGCCCCTAGTGGTAAGCGATACGCCTGTCCTTAACAGTTGCAGTGCCACTCAGTGCTTTAAATGACACAAAGATCTAAGGGACACAGTCATTGCGCCTGTCACCTTGACACAGTTGACAATTCCCATCTGCCTGTAATTTTACCAGCACCCTTACCCTTCAAAACTGAAACACCGTAATGCTCACATTGCATCACATTCAAATGAATATATTTATGATGAATATGATACCTAAGTAAAGAAATGACATTTTCTAGTTATCACTTTATTCTCATGTGTATAGTTTAGTAGATACTTTCTTATTACACTTTCAAGAATCATACTTTTTCTACGAACTTCTGTGACTCTTTAATTACCTTTGTTTTCTCCTTCCAAAGTCTTCAATTCTGGGGCTAAGCCTCTCGCGGAGGTGACATAAAAAGTTCTTAATATGTCCAGACGGTGTGTACCAGCCATACCACGGCCTTTTTGAGTCGGATGTAAGTGACGGGAGAATACGCACCTTCGCCTATTTATATTTACTATAAGTACGCTGAAAAATAAGGTAAATGTAATTGGCACAATATTTATCATCATTATTATTCATAATCATGACATAAGCCATAATAAGCAAGACCGTTATGGACTGTGTCCCAAGCTGCTGATAATAGGCATAGTAGGGTTGGCGACCTATTTGGGTAGTTGCAATACAAACTTCGTAAAATAATACATTATTAAACATTAATGAAACTTATTTTTTCCCATTTAGTTTGATACTGCCCGAGACCCTTGTTTTCTTGTATTTATTGGTTTTGTTTGCATATTTTTTTTACCTTTATCGGCCATTTTCACATTCGGTGTTCTCGGCCTAATTACGTAGCCATTGTTTTTTTTCGCTTATTATACCTAATATAATAACATAATAGGTAAAGTAGCCTTCGAGTTATTACGGCACAAATATTTAATGGAAACGGTAATTAGATCTAATTACCGTAGGTAGCCATGAATACGGTAATTAGAAAGTTCAAACATTTTTAAGAAAACAAAAGCAAAAATTATTTAGTTTAAGGTTTCATATTTCAATGTTAATGGGTGTAAGCGTAAGCGAGAAAAAACAATGGCTACGGTAATTAGGCTGAGAACACCGAATGTGAGAATGGCCGTTATATTTATCTACATTTACGTTGTTTTTGCAAGATGTTTTCACTCATAATGAGTTGTGCAATAAGACAAAATTTTCTTTCATTTGTTTTATGCAATATTGTAATAACTAAGTGAACCAATAAATAAATAAACATATCATCGCATAAAAGGCCGAGACTACAACGATTTGTTACCGTGTGAGGACGAGGGCTGAGCCAATTGATGGGAACGCGAAGTGCATATGGCGAAAACTATTTGCCACAACCGCGCGGAAAAATATCGGATTGTACCGCGATCATAGAACAAATAAGTAATGAGAACGGACACTCTCCGCCCCTCCCTAGCTTTAGATCGCACCACGCCCCGCACATTGACGGTCACATTGACTGAACGAGTACAAGCCTGTCGGCGAACCGTTTTCGCGCTAAGACGGCTTTGATGTTTGAATATATAGTTTTCATTTATTCATTACGAAATTTGTACGTTAATATATAACATTATTTTACGTTAGTATCTAAAATAGTCGTGAATTGTGCTGTACGGCTGTTAGTAATCATCTAAACGGAATAAAGAGAGGCGTTTCTTTCGTTTTTTGAAAGATGAAACGAAGTAAAAAACTTATGTCTGAGACTCATTCAGTTATTGTTTTCTTTAGTACAGAGTAATATATAATACATATTTATTATATCAATATAATAAGACACCATAACTTCGTGAGCTAGATAAGGGTTCTAGAATTTTCAATTTGTATTGCCGATAAATATTACGTAGTGAATATACCTAATTATTAACTAGGTAATGATAAAGTTGGACACGCAATTTCAAATACTTTGTTACCTTATTTAAAGGTACCTGTCCAAAATATAACATTTTAAGTGCTTTTAATATATTTTTTAAACAAATCTTCAATATTATTCTAGTTAGTGAATTAATAAAAAAATATAATATTATATCGATATAAATACGTAATGAACATGTGTAATTATTAGGATCTTTAATAGAATTATAGATAACAGATTCGCGTTACAATTTTCGCTGTTGCCACTTTGACGACGTAACGTAATAGTACGAGCAAGTGATGGATGATAACCCTGACACTTCACGCACACATTCGCGCGTGTACAGATAACGCCTTGCTGTATGTGGTAGGTAAATAATTTTCGACCGTTGCATGGAGTGTCTGGGGTGTGCCGCTATGCAAGCACTGAAAATGCTTTGTAATCGCGGCGAGCTCGAACTTAGAAATCTCTGTCGTTAGACCAGACACGCCTATTTGAGAGGGCCCAAAGTCCACTAATGAACATGTCCACAATTTGTTTTTGAGTTTCTTGTAAATACTATCTATACTAAAACATAATCTGTAATATTGACATACCCTAAAACACAACTCTCAAAGCTGATGCTCACAGGAAAGTTTCGAGGATAAGCCAGTTTAGCTTCCTTTATAAGTTGAGTGAAGCCTTCCCAGCATTGTAAAACTATTTCGTCTATCTCAGACAATGATGGTGTAGCACCACAGACTACTAATATGTAGACATCTGATAGTAATTTGCAGGTCACTGCTCGAAAGGCCACCTGTAATGAGCATATTATACAAATTTACGGCATTCAAATTTAAGAAAACCTTATGTATAGGGCATAATACACATGAAATAAATTGAAAATGCCTCTTTCAACTCTTAAAACAAATATAATTCTTGGTTACAATAATAACGTCATTATAATAGTCTACTCACATTAGGGCTCATTTGTGGTAAATAAACAGGAGTGTCCCTCAATGGAGCACCATCCTGTGCTGCAGCTAACAGCAGCATTAGCCGAGCCTCTCTTGTATCTAACTCATAGAAATCCGAGCTAGTTGCCACTAGATGTCCATGGATACTGAGACACGCCCAACGGCCTGTCACTTTTTCTGCATAGTTGTCTAGTGCTTGCTGTAGTAAGGTACAAATTAGTAAAATATCAGTAGATTCTGTCAAGAAGTGAATGAGACACCTCTATGCCTAGAAAGCAACATTAATTTAGGAAGTAAATAATGTATGTACATATGAAACACCAACAAACGCATTGTCCTATTGACGAATTGTAGAAATAGCTTGACACTATTATAATTTTCAGGTCTATCTATTTTTAGTTATTGTCGCAATCTTCTAGCAATGAAGTTATATTAGTATAAAATAAAAATTCATACGAAAATTAGTAATGGAGCATTATGCTCGCTTTTGTTGAAAATATGATCAATGTCTTAATCGCTTATGACAATAATATCAGTCACAACTGTGTACCCTAATGGACGAGGCAAAAACTATTGAAGCTTGGTATTAACTCTGAGTTGTAATTAGTGGTGTTCACAATTAGAACAATTGCTCAGTGCAGTGATGACTTGCTCCACTGGCAGAATAAGTCTAACCTCTAGTTTTGTAAAGATCTCTTGTTTTTCTCGTTTTTATTGACCATAATACAAACCTGCAACTGTTGTGCTTGAGGACACAATACACTTTGAATCAAATCCAGTACAAGGGTAGGCAATGGACTGGACACAGCATTAGGATCTAATGACTCTAATAAATAATCCAGTATAGGATAACACTGTCTTAAATCTCTCTTAATCTGATCTATATTTTTTAAAGTGTCCAGTTCCTTTTTTCCAATGCAGAATATCATTACATCATGGACACATGATAGGAGAAGTTCTAGGTCACATTCAAGACCACCCGTTGCTATACCAATTAGTGTTACACTGGAATAAAGAAAACAACTTAAACTGATGAAATAATAATAAAGGTAAATCTTGCAGACAATATTATCTAAACCTTAAGAGTTAATTCTGTATTCAATTATGGCCATCCCATGATTGCTTGTTTTTATCATATAAGTACCACATGTGAGGGTAAGTTTATAAAGTTCTATTGCACTCCAACAATAAGTAAGGACAATGCTGTGATAGTTCAAAGAGCTCAGATAGCACAAGTAAGATCCTGCACACACCACACGCAAAATAAGCAATGAGTTGCCATACCATACTACTACCAGGACACCATACTATTCAAACATTACAATTGAACACATAGTAAATGAATATGAAAGTTACTGTAAAAGTTATAGAGCAATAAATAAAAGGTATTTACAAAAAGAAAATAACAATATAAGAGGCCAGGTCCAACAGCACCAGCTAAATATTAGACAGAAAATTAGTCGGTTCTCTAAGTTGGTTGACTATACATCCGTTTCTCCACAATGTTTACTAATGGTGCTAGTAGGTATGTTAGTAGGAGCTACTAACTCCTTATTACTAACAAATAACCCTATCTTATTGCAGTTGTTTTTCATCATCATCGACATCTACCCATTTATGTACCACTGCTGGGCATAGGTCTCCTCTCATGCGTGGGTTTAGGCCATAGTCCAACATGCTGGCCCAAAGCGCATTGGGGACATCACTCATATTCTAAGGGTAGTGAATCTTCTTCGACATGCAGGTTTCATCATGATGTTTTCCTTCACCAAATAGGTCATGGTAAACTTAAATAAATTTTAATAACTGATTTTATAATAAATGGATTAGGTATGGGCATTGTGGAAGTTAGAAGTTGTTATAATTCAAATTATAATTTTAGTCACCTTTTGCAATATTCCTTCCAAAGTATAGTACCATTGTCAACTTGAGTGCTGATCATAGATAAGTTGTGGCATTTACTAAACATGTTGATGCCGTGTAGAGAAGCAATTGTAGAAAATTGTACCTGAAATTATGCATAACATTTAAAAAAAATTAAGTATGAATTTTTTAGACAAGTTTTTTACTTTTACGTATCTCACACCGCTTGCAATAACATTAATTTATAAAACGTATATCGTTATAAAATTACTAAAGACTTCAGATTTTGGTGAAATAAGTTTATCAGGAAAACAATTGTTTGCATAAAAACAGAAAAATACTTACTCCTTCATTGGTGCCCCGTTTTCGTGAAAATATTGGTACACCACTCTCAGTGGCAACTGCTATGATAAGAACAGACATTTTTATGTTATGTTCTTTTTATATACTTAGTTCTCCTATTAATGTCATCGAGTTCTATTAAATTTCAAAACTTTACAAAGAAACGAAAAGAAAAAAGAACGTCGTCGAACTGAACTATAAAATAAAGTTCAACGACCACACTCTGTCTGACGTTTCGCTTTATTTCTTCATAGAAAGAGCGTTCAATAAATACAGTGACCTACCAATACCTACCAATAAATACAATAAAATGATGCTTCCCTCTTTCACCGTTCTGTGCTTGGCTGCTACATTAATAGATGGACTGCATGTCTACAGTAAATTGAATAAATGCGCGCAGCAGCGATGCGATGGGACGACTTGTATTTTTTTCAACATGAGTTAATCGAGTTGACTTGACTTCTGACTCGAGTTAACTCGACTCGGTGTCTGACTAAGCAACCACGAGTCGCGAGTAGAACTTGAACGGACGATTCACCGAATTGGGCACGATCGGCCGGCCGACCGCGACTCGAGCTTGCTCCGAAGGTCACCAAACCGACCGATTGAGAACGATTGGCCGACGCGTTGTACGAACGAAGTATTCGACTCGGTGGGAACTGGGGGTCTACTCTCGATCTCCGTCCGACATCCGTCCGAAATAATTACTGCCAAATAAGCACTACTTGACCAAATGAAAAGACGCGTGATGCGAATGAAGCTTCATTCTTGATACTTGTCTTTTAATTTTGTCGAATATTACTTATTTGTACCCCTGTACCGAGCTAGCTCAAGTTCACCACAAGTAGCTCGAATTGACCCGTTGTGGGAGTAACTCGTGTCAAATAACTCAACTCACCCATCTTTCGCGACTCGAGCGTGTTCCGAAGGTCATCGAACGAGCTGCGCATTGCGCTGTATGAATGAAGTATACGCCTCGGCGGGGCGGGTACCGAACCGAGTTAGTTCGAGTTCATAAATAAGTAACTCGAGTTGACTCGTTGTGGGAGTAACTCGAGTTAACTGAGTTAAATAACTCGATTTGCCCATCGCTAGCGTGCAGTCGAGTAGTTAGTTCATTGCGTAGATGATACACTATACTTGAGAGGCCACTACTGCAAAGAGTACCTTGAATATACGGAAAGTCCATTGTATGCAGTAGAGACGTCCGCTGTATACGTTGCCGTCGACTGGAGTCGATGTGAACGATAGTCTGAGACCTAGATTAATATGTATATCATAATCTGAGAATTAAAAGCAGTAATTGACATTCATATGAGGTCAATATAAGATATTTGTTTGAGTCTGCAACAACTTGATTTTTTCAGTAACGGCAAAATGTAACGATTACTTACTTGACAAGTGGCGGTATAATCAACAAACACCGTTGATGATGCAGATTTGACTCTGCTGTTAGGTTGAGTGTTAGCTACAAGGTGTTCTGTGAATTAGTGCCTTTTTTGGCTAATTTCTTTATTTCATATCCCCCGTTGACTTATTTTATGTGTCTATTTAAGTAACTTTATGAGTGTTGTTAATTGTATTGGTAAGTAAAAGCTTTATAACTGTGTTGTAAATGTCTGATCCTCCCGATCCGGGAGAGGCGATGCTGAGTCACGTGCTCAGTCATCTCCTCGCGTGTTTTCGCAATCTTAGACTGAAGTAATGGACGTAGATAAGGTCATCCAAAGTAGCAAACGAGCCCCCACTGACGTGGAATCATCTCAACCTCCCAAAAAAGCCAATACCTCACAGTCTGTTCCGTCCACCCAATTTACATTCACCAACCCAAAATTCTTAAACAACAAAAACAAATATATGGCACAAGATATCGCCCCATTCATTGTACATGTGAGCAAAACAGTATCGGACCCCCCTTCTGGCACCGCATTACGCCGCATTAAATTTGGCCAGTTTTTGTTTAGGAACAATGTTAAAAATATTGTCAGAGATGGTATCAAACGTGTTGGCGGAAATAGAATATCTCTTGAATTCAAAACTTTCAGTGTTGCTAATGCTTTCCTTGACCACTCAACTCTTTCTCCAGCCAAATATGAAACGATTATCCAATTATCAAGTTACAGCGTAATTAGAATGGGTATTGTCCGACAAGTTCCAGTTGAAAGGACGCTGGAGGAATTAGTTGAAGCAGTGGAAGTTCCGATTGGTTATGGCTCTATTGTTAAGGCACGGAGACTTAATAGGAAAACCCACGACAGTAATAGGTCACCTGTAAGGGTTCCCACCCAGATAGTAGTACTAACCTTCTCAAGTCAAAAACTTCCCTCCCATGTGTACTGCTTTTTCACCTCCCTCCCAAAGGAAATATATGTCCTTACCACAATTCAGTGCAATAAGTGCTGCTTGTTTTGGACACATCCAAACTCAATGCAGAACGGAGGCCCGCTGCTATATTTGTGCACAAACTCATGAAGGCCTACATTGTACCAAGGAAACCGACCTGTTTACACTGCTCTGGACATCATAAAGCCACCGATCCCTCTTGCCCTGAGCAATTAAGGCAGAAACAAATAAAACTGGTCATGTCCCAAGAAAATATCTCTTACTCTGAAGCATCTGCCAGATTCACCCAAATGCGAAGACCTTTTGCTGACACAGCGAGGTTTAATTTAAATGAATATTAGCTTACACCCACCCCTCAGTATACTTCTCCTTCCAATCCAATCTCCCCAACACACTTCCTATCGCAAAACAGTATCTATTCCCAGGCACCAACCCCTCCCAGCTTCTAGTCTAGGGCATAATCACCAAGTTCATAGAGACATAGTTATGTCTCCTAGTTCTCAACTAGGAAATGCATGTGCACTCCCAAATAACTCCTCAATGCCTAACGATAATTTAATTTCTCTTTTCCTCTCGACCATCATTAATCTCTTAGGGCGTTTTAGTGACGTCCCCCTACCGAACAACCTCAAAGATCAACTGTCTCAGCTCAATTCGCCTCACCTGCTCCAATGGCTCCCATTCTCCAGTGGAACAGTCGCAGCAGCAGGAACAAAGAAAACGAAATTCAATTCCTACTTAATAAATACTCTCCTGACGTTTTCGCAGTCCAGGAGATGCGACGTAAACCAGGCGATCGAGTACGGTTTCCAGGTAGTAGGACAGAACAGACCGGCAAGGAGGCTCGGTACTCCTAGTGTCTTGACACTCTTTACGGCTCTTGAGCCGTAACCTTTTTGCAGATTTCCCTTCCCCCTCATAGCAAACACATTAATGCAGTTGCTGCCAAATTGCTAAAGATAACGTTTCTGTCGGTTTACATTCTTCACCTTACATGCCTTGCAGAGTTTTCGGATATTGTCGCTTCCCTTAGTCTCCCGCTTATAATATTAGGGGATTTTAATATAGACCACACTTACTCGGGCTTATATATTATAGTGACCATTTATCCTCTGCCTGCCTGGATATCTGCGACAACCATGACCTCTGCTTTCTCAACGATGGCTCCCCGACGCGTAGAGTCTATCCGTCCCAAAATATTAGAAGTGCCGTGGATTAGGAGGAAAACCTCTGTGTTCCCCCTCACTTTCTTCCGAACTCATCCTGCCGGTTACTCACAGCAGTAACCATTTTCCAATTATTATTCTGGCGCTGGAGCACAGGGCTGACCGTTCGAATACCCAGAATATTCCTCGTCCTAAACTAAAATTTAACCTGTCAAAGGCCGACTGGTCAAAATATAGATGTGTTTTAGACCAGGAAACGCAACGCCTACCTATATATGATTTTAGAAATTATCTGCTGTCATCAGCAGATAAATGCCTCCCCACTAAAAATGTATTCAAGGGTAACTCTCCATCTCCACCTTGGTGGGATTCGGAATACACTGAAGTCTGCAAAGAGAGGAAAACAGCAGAATATGCATACGCACTAACAATGACTGAATCCCTTTTTATAAAATACCGTGCAGCTGCAGCAAAAGCTGTAAGAGTAATGTGTGAGAAAAAAAGAGTTGGGTGGCGTAGATTTTGTGAAACTCTCTCTCCAAGATCTCATTCTGCCTTGGTTTGGAGGAATGGAAAGGAGATTTAGGGGCTCTATATCCTGTTCCGGTAATATCTCTTTTAATGACACTCCACTCAGAGTGGCTTATTTTCAAAACAAACTGGCTCCTCTCTCAGTCCCCGCGAAAGACGAGGTAACTTTGTCCACGTTCCCTACACTATCTCCAACTTCAGTTTTTGACTCCCCATTCTCTTGGGAGGAACTCTCGACAGTGTTAAACGGTCTCAAAGATTCTGCTCGTGGAAATGATGGTATACCATATTCTTTTATCGTTAATAGCAGCGATTCAACCAAAGATTTATTCCTTAGTAGACTTGATAACATCTTTCTGACGGGAATTCCTCCGGATGAATGGAAAGTCCAAATCATTGTACCCATACTAAAACCAGGTAAACTTAGTAATGACCCTAATGGATATAGACCCATTGCTCTTTCCTGCACGTTAGCCAAAGTCTTAGAACATCGTACTAAAAATCGCCTTGAGTGGATAGTTGAAAGTAGGGGTTTACTCACTAAAAGTGAATATGGTTTCCAGAAGGGCATGAGCACCATGGACAGCCTCAGTGTTTTTCTGACAGACATTTGGATCGGCTTGTCTAAACGAGAACATGTAGTTGGAGTTTTTTTGGATATGTCATCAGCGTATGACAATGAATTGCTTCCAGTACTCAGGCAAAAGATGTTCAATCTGAGTATAGCTGTGAAGCTTATCAATATAATTTTTAATCTCCTCTCTGCCCATTCAATTCAAGTCAGTGTTAACAACTTCCTTTTACCACCAAGAACTGTCTGGAGAGGCCTTCCACAGGAATCCGTCCTTAGTCCCTTGCTTTATAGCCTCTATACATATGACCTCGAGCATTCTCTTAACCCATTTTGCAACGTCCTCCAGTATGCTGACGTCTTGGCCTTATACATTTCGGATAACAACATCGAAAATATCTCAGCCCACTTCATTTCTGCTCAAAGCTACCTCAGAACCTGGCTAACCGACCACGGCCTTTCGCTGTCGGTCGAAAAAAGTAATGCAGTAGTTTTGTCCCGTGCAAGGAACACACCCCCATATTTTTATTAATTACGAGAACCAGTCTATCCCGTTCAAAAATCAAGCCAGGTTTCTTGGAGTTGTGGTGGAGCCAAAAATGGCAGATGCCCATCATATCTCACATGGTGTTAAAAAATGTGAGAAAAATATTAATATCCTTCGGTCATTGTCTGGAACATGGTGGAGTGCTCACCCTCAATCTCAGAAACTTTCGTGCAATGCTCTGATTCGAGTTCATCTAGATTACGGATCCTTTTTACTAGAACCATGCCATAAATCCTCTTTAAAATATCTAGACAAAGTACAATATAAATCTCTTCGTATTATAACAGGGGCTATGAAATCTTCTCCCACCAATGCACTACAGATGGAATGTGCGGACTCCCCCTTATCTATCAGGAGACAATATTTAGCGGACAGATTATTTTTTTAAATTATTCGTAATTCATCCCATCCTCTTATAGGTAAATAACATCAATTATCAGAATTAATGTCCTCTGATAAGTACTGGAGACATAAATCTGCATCCTGTCTGTTTCTTAGTTTTATTAAATTCATCAGGCTCCCCTGTCCAGTATATCAGTGTACCCTAAATCTTCTTTTTCTCTTCGATATACCCTATCTCGCTCTTATCTATAATATTACTGAATTTAGGCATTGACAAAAATTCCTCTAACCCTGAAGGTCAATTACAAAAATACATCAATAAGAA